CAAGCCTCGAGGAAGGGAAGGGATTTTAAGGAGGATGTGAGCAACTGTTGCTCTCTTAATGTTTTTCCCTCTCTTAGGCTTATGATTAGTCCTCATGTCATCTGCCAACGGTTCGAATGCCCTGTTCTGGATGTACTCTTAAGGCCACGCATACACAATAAGTTACAATATATAAAGACTAAACAGTATGCTGATTGAGGCTTAATGGGAAGAAGGGCGTAATTTTGAATTTCGGGAGAAGTGGTCATTGTCAGGGGGGTGGCAGTCCCATTTCTGGGCTGAAAAATATTCCGACGGACTCCAAAGTTTCAAAAATTCCGCTATTTTGACCGCTACTGCTGGCACTTCTCCTCCGCCCTCACTCCACTCAATCCCCGTGCGACGAAGATTTTGGTGGTGGAGGTACGTTAAGTAGGAGATGGTGGAAGAACTACCATTCAACTAGACTACGAGATAGGTGGCGCATGTGGACCCCTCCAGTTACCAGTTTTGATTAAACGAACGTTAATAGTGAAGCGGCAAAGGGAGGTGCTGCAGGGTTCGCAAAATTAGCTCATAAATTCATGGACTAGCAGAACTGGAAAGGCTCTCCGCAGTCTAGCGAAGCTATTGAAAAGCCCGTGAAAGTCATCAAAGGCAGTGACCACGATGACTGGAGGGCGGTGCGGTTTTGATGACGTCATTGAACATCACCGGTTGACTAGAGCCCTCAACGCGCCGGGGAGTGTGTAGGAGACCGTCTATTATCCCCTTCCAACGAAGAAGTTCAGTAACTTTATCGAAGCGCACTACCATTCAATGGTCGCGATCACTGCCTTTAAGGATCTCTAAAATTTTCTGAGTGGCAAGAAGTGTAGGGCGCGGAAGACAACTGGATTCATCGCCTAACTCAAGTAGCATCGATTGCAGTGGACTGGATACTAGTTTTTCTGAAGAAAAAAGTTTCCACTGCCTAATGAGCATCAATTAAACAGGGGTTGTAATGTGATTATCTAATAAACAGCACCGATCTCTGGTGTGACGACTTTTTCTAGATCTTTTAAGTTTTCTTGCATCTGTAAACGGTTTGTGAAAACATTCATTTGATACACGCATAAATAACAATATTTACAACTACTTTCCAGCGTAACTGCCTTTCCCTCCTCCAGCAAAGGATCCTCCTTCAGGTCCAGGACCTCCACCAGAAAATCCACCACCTCCAGGTCCTCCGAAGCCTCCTCCTCCAGGTCCCGGTCCAGCGTACGCTCCACCACCACCGCCTCCTCCACCAGGTCCTCCGCCTGCTGCAAATCCTCCTCCGCCAGGTCCACCTGCACCGGGCCCTGCATAAGATCCTTCAGCTGCAAATCCTCCTCCAGCAGGTCCTCCACCGCCTCCTCCTCCAGGCCCTCCTCCAGCTGCAAAACCTCCTCCGCCAGGTCCGCCTGCACTAGGCCCTGCATACGACCCATTCGCTGCGAATCTCCTCCGCCAGGAGTTTCCGCCGCCTCTCCTTCCTGGTCTCCAAAGCCGCCTCACTTGCGTCCCGCACCAGCATAGCTCCACCTCGCGCCGTCACCAGGTGCCTCCTTCAGCTGCGAAGCCTCCTCCACCAGGTCCTCCACCTCCTCCTCCTGGTCCTCCAAAGCCGCCTCCACCTGGTCCAGCACCAGCATACGCTCCACCTCCGCCGCCTCCACCACCAGGTCCTCCTCCAGCTGCGAAGCTTCCTCCGCCAGGTCCTGCACCTGATACGCTCCTTCAGCTGCGAAGCCTCCGCCACAGGTCCTCCTCCTCCTCCTCCTGGTCCTCCAAAGCCGCCTCCACCTGGTCCAGCACCAGCATACGCTCCACCTCCGCCGCCTCCACCACCAGGTCCTCCTCCAGCTGCGAAGCTTCCTCCGCCAGGTCCTGCACCTGCATACGCTCCTTCAGCTGCGAATCCTCCTCCGCCAGGTCCTCCGCCTCCTCCTCCTGGTCCTCCAAAGCCGCCTCCACCTGGTCCAGCACCAGCATACGCTCCTCCTCCGCCGCCTCCTCCACCAGGTCCTGCTGCGAAACCTCTCCACCAGGTCTGCATCGCTGTCTGCGTCTCAAAGCGCCTCCACCTGCGTCCAGCACAGCTACGCTCCAACTCGCGCCTCTCCACCGGTCTCCTGCAAGCCTCCTTCGCCAGGTCCTGCCACCTGCATACGCTCCTTTCAGTGCGAAAGGCGGCCATCTCGCCTCAGCTCCGGCTCACTCCTGGTTCCTCAAAGCCGCCTCACCTGGTCCAGCACCAGCGTACGTCCGCCTCGCCGCTCCTCACCAGCGTCCTTCTCAGATGCCGAAGCCTCCTCGCCAGGTCCTCCACCTCCTCCTCCTGGTCCTCCAAATCCACCTCCACCTGGTCCTGCACCTGCATACGCTCCTTCAGCAGCGAAGCCTCCTCCAGCGGGTCCTCCGAATCCTCCTCCACCAGGTCCTCCAAAGCCGCCTCCGCCTGGTCCTGCAGCATACGCTCCACCACCGCCGCCTCTCTCCACCAGGTCCTGCTGCAAAGCCTCCTCCGCCAGGTCCTGCACCTGCATACGCTCCTTCAGCAGCGAAGCCTCCTCCACCGGGCCCTCCGCCTCCTCCTCCTGGTCCTCCAAAGCCGCCTCCACCTGGTCCAGCACCAGCATACGCTCCTCCTCCGCCGCCTCCTCCACCAGGTCCTGCTGCGAAGCCTCCTCCGCCAGGTCCTTCGTATCCTCCTCCACCAGGACCTCCAAAGCCGCCTCCGCCTGGTCCTGCGCCAGCATACGCTCCACCTCCGCCGCCTCCTCCACCAGGTCCTGCTGCGAAGCCTCCTCCGCCAGGTCCTGCGCCAGCATACGCTCCACCTCCGCCGCCTCCTCCACCAGGTCCAGCTGCGAAGCCTCCTCCGCCAGGTCCTTCGTATCCTCCTCCACCAGGACCTCCAAAGCCGCCTCCGCCTGGTCCTGCGCCAGCATACGCTCCACCTCCGCCGCCTCCTCCACCAGGTCCAGCTGCGAAGCCTCCTCCGCCAGGTCCTTCGTATCCTCCTCCACCAGGACCTCCAAAGCCGCCTCCGCCTGGTCCTGCGCCAGCATACGCTCCACCTCCGCCGCCTCCTCCACCAGGTCCAGCTGCGAAGCCTCCTCCGCCAGGTCCTTCGTATCCTCCTCCACCAGGACCTCCAAAGCCGCCTCCGCCTGGTCCTGCGCCAGCATACGCTCCACTCCGCCGCCTCCTCCACCAGGTCCTTCGTATCCTCCTCACCAGGACCTCCAAAGCCGCCTCCACCTGGTCCTGCAGCATACGCTCCACCTCCGCCGCCTCCTCCACCAGGTCCTGCTGCGAAGCCTCCTCCGCCAGGTCCTTCGTACCCTCCTCCAGCAGGCCCTCCAAACCGCCGCCTCGCCTGGTCCTGCGCCAGCATACGCTCCACCTCCACCAGGTCCTGCTCCATAGTCTCCTCCGATAGGTCCTCCAGGACCACTATCAGCATATGCTCCTCCTGCTCGCAGGTCTCGCCAGGTCCTCCAGCCGCATATGATTCTCTCCTGCAGTCCATAGCCGGGCCTCCGCCTCCTCCTGCTGGACCATAGCCTCCTCCTGGACCTCCACCAGCATATGCACCTCCTCCTGCGCCTCCTGGAGGAGGAGGTGGTGGTGGTGGTGGTGGAGGTGGAGGCGGAGGGGGTGGACCAGCAGGAGCAGCAGAAATGATGAGGGGCACAGCGTACTCACCACCACCACCTCCTCCTCCACCGCCACCACCGCCGTACCCTCCTCCTCCCTCCTCCTCCCATAGGAGGACAGATTGGTACACAAACAGGCATGGCACTGAAAGAATCGAATTGACACAATGTTTCGAAATATTGAATTAGCATACTGTAACACTAAGCGACTCGTGCAAACAGTTAATAACACTATGTATATATTAGAGTATTACAATACGAATGTCTTTTTGGGATAACCACAAAATGCCGAAGTGCAAATGTCAGATTGTGATATGTTACCCCTCTTGATGCGTCAGCACCTCTTTCTCCAGAGATTTAAGTCTTCTCAAGCGAAAAGGAACTGTGCCTCGGCACCCTTGATCATCAGAAAAACGTGAGACGTCGTGCTTCTACAAGCCTTCCAAGCCTCTATAACCTGTCTCTACCGTCTCCGACCGCAGCGAGGTTTCTGGGTGGAGGCGAGTAAGCAAGATCCTCAATTGATTTTTTTCACGCGCGTCACCTTAACAATTTGAGCGGTGAGGGTGCGTGATAGGGTCATTAGAATACTTCTATGGGTTAACTACTATTGGGCCCAAGGGGGTGTGTGGCAAAGTCGGCGCTGACTGTATGCGGCACGGTCCGCGGGCATCAAAATTTGGATCTTTCTGGCCAACCAAGCTTCTATCCTGTCGGTTCAGTCAACTGGACACCACACTTGTCTGTAAACACAAACATATAATACAATAATAACAACAGACAAGTAAACCCCAACAACGACTGGCCCATGTAAGTCATAGTATAGGTCAAATCGCATTCAAGATATTACTACGCGGCCCCCCCATTCTGAAGCGATGTGAATTTGAGAAAGTGGGAAGTATTATATTTTGTCGGTCTCAGATGTATGCAATCCAAGAATTGTTCCCCGTACCTTGAGCGTGGTAGGACGCGCATTCCTGGATCACTGCGGCCGTGGTTACAAATTAATGTCTACGCAACAAAAAAATGACGCAATATGTGTGCATATTCATGAAGTTTGATGATCGTTTTCAAATAAGGAACAACTTTGTGCTGGAAAAAGGGTCAAATTGGGAAAATGGATTTGATTTTTGCAAGAGATTATTTCTTATAGCAACAAAATCCTAAATGTTGTCAACACAGGGAACATACCCGCCCTACTTTTGATTAGGGGCATTGCCGTCCACAAATTCTACAATGAAGATTATACGGGAGTTTTGAAAGAAAGGGCTGCACTGGCAAAATATCTATTAGATGTCCTCCCATAAGTAGAAGCAGGCCCTCTTCACTCCCCTCCCCTCACCGTCCTCAAAATATGACGTCATCTTCCATCACCGTTGAGCTCAAGAAGGCCTAAGGTTCCAGCCTGAAGCTGCTACGGAATTTCTTTAATCGGGTAACGGATTGCTTCCCAGGGACAGCAGCTCTTCAGCGCTCGGATCGCAACGCTCGGATCCAGGATTCGCTAGCGAATCGCTGGATCCGAGCGTTGCGATTCGCAAACTATGACGTCGGCCTAACTCTCCCTCCAAAATGAGCGTGGAGGGGGACAATGGGGGAGGGGGGAGGAAGGGGAGAGAAGCTGGAGTTTCTGTATGAAGAAACAGCAAATGATCTGATGTTGTCCACTTCCTGCTTCTTTCTGACATCTTCGCCTGGACTTCCGAAAAAAAAAGCCAAGCGACTTCCTTCTTCCGCAACTACTACTCCTTCAATTTTAAGAAAAATCACAATCCCACATTCGAAGAGAAAAATTGCAATCCCACATTCGACTTTTCCCCCTTTCTCAACCCCCAGTAGCACCCCTAGCCAAAAATCGAAATTACGACCCACGTCTGGGCCGGCTTCTTGGACAGTTGACCTCGATCTCGAGGCATATGGATGGGACGGGAACTGCAAGGAACTGCGCCCCTAGCGAAACAGTGTTTCTCATGTAAAAAGGGTATTGAGAGTCAGAAAATCGTGGAACGTGCTTCCAAGGAGATCCAAAGCAAGTTCGACTTATAATGTTAGAGAGGAACCTACAACACACATTCATAAGAAAGAGTGTGAGTAGTGAGGATGACGGTAGGGTTGTGATATGTGCGGATATCTGGAGTGAAGACTTTTCAAATTGTCAAGAAGGGCGGCTAAACCGGCATGCAAGAGTTGATGGCGACAGTAACCCATCTACCCACCAACCTCACTCCACCAGCACCTCTATCTCACTCACTCTGGAAATCTCCAAAAGATCACGTATCTTTCAAAAAGGTTTGGCTCTTTGGCTCTAGGGGCGGAAGTGGTGTAGTGGCAAGTGGCGCGCTTACCACGCGAGCGGTCCGGGGATCAAATCCTGGGTCGTGAGTCGCCCGGGCCAACCAAGCCTTCCATCCCTCCGGGGTCGGTTAATTGGTACCAGACCAGTTTTCCGCCACAATCAGTCTTCTCTGTGTGTGATGCTGTATGACACAAATAAGCGCACTCCGGAGAGTGATAAGACCGTTCAAAGAAAAACGCCATAACAAATTGAGGTGCTTCTGGAGTGAGAGAGGGAGGGGGTTACCGAAGGCTCCTGTCGTCCACCTCAAATGATGATCCTGCACTGTAGGCACGGATCGCGATCAAATTCCTGTGTTATTACGTACGATTAAGCTCGATATAAAAGAGGTACGAAGAGGACCGCCAATGAGGAAAAATTCCAAAAGAACCATATAAAACACTCTAGCTTAGAGCCCTCGAACTTGACTGTGTACGGCTCAGGGACACAGCGAGGCAAGGAGAGGAAAACGCGAGAGAGCACGGCGTATGAGATGGCGCAGACACAGCGTATGCTGCGGCGAGAAAAATTAGCAGCGCTAGCAGCGGTGAAGGGAAGACATAATCGTACCATTGACAGACTTAGAGTTGCGACATGACACTAACCCCATGCTTGGGCGCAGTGCTACCTCACTCACTGAGAGATTTCTCTGGGGATCTGGTTCGTCATCCCTGCCTTTACACCCAGCCAGTTCGTGAGACATTTGTGTTATGAAAACTCTAATATATACTGTGTGCGGTAGGATGTGTCGCAATCGCGGACTTGTTGCATACTTGGCGCCAGCCTCAGAATGTTAGATACTACAAGAAAACTTTCGGTGCTTTTGAAGCTATCCAAAGTCACAAGAGCTGTTGAGTCCGCAATTGCGACCGTACTCGTCGCGAAAAAAAAAGAATCTACATCAGAAAGAAACAACGAAGGAATGCAACAATCTTACCAACATCCGCCGCCGCCGCCGCCTCCACCAAACATCCCGCCGCCACCACCGCCGAACATGCCGCCGGGACCACCACCTCCGCCGAACAGCGAGGCGAACGGAGCGAATAATGTGTTGAATATTGCATCTGCACTAGGGCAAAGTGCAAGAAGAAGGACTATCTGACGCATGTTGTCGAGCGGAACAGGTGGTGAAGTTGCCTAAGGGAAAGTACGAAGTAGTGGAAGTAGAAGATATTCAGTGATTCAGTCAACGCTTAGGACTTACCGCTCGAATATCGTCAGAATGTCAGATGAGAGGAATGACTGTAAATCCGCTTAAATAGGCATAACGGTTTCACTCAGAAGCTGGTTCCATCTTTTAATGATGCTTTCGAAGAAGTCTGAGCATTGGACAAATTGGCAGCTTCACTTCACACGACGCCGCCCCCGTGAGACCATTTGAAGGTGAAAGTCGAGGGATCAAATTGGAATACCTCTGTGAGGGTTGACCATACCCTTGGGTAATTTCCGAAAGTGACCCCTAGGGGTGATCTTCGTAAGGTACGCTCTCGTCATTATTTTTTGGTTTCTCAGGAAGAATCGCTCAGTATAGTCTGTTCCTCTCCAAAACACTGCCATCTTGCCATCTTCAGAAGGTCCGTCGGTCGAGTGAAAACGAAAAAAATGCGAAATCCTCAAAAAATTCCAACACATGCAACAATCCCGCCCCACTTCGTTCGAGATTTTTCTTCTAAAAATACATGCATATTTTACCTCCTACTGAGAGGTGGGTGTCTTTATGGAACCAGAATAAATATCGCGTCCAGGTAGAAAAAGCCACGGCAGTGCGACTCCCGTCCCCCGCTCCTGTGATCGATGCAACCCCCACCTGGTCGATGGTATCAGTAGGGACGTAGAACCTTGCTCAACCAGACACACTCCTTCAGAGCCTGTAACTCTTCGAGAACTGCCATCGAGCAGGAGGAGAGGGAGGGGAAACAGGTATAGCGTGAAGATGGGGAGGAGATTACTGTTGAAACACAAGTTTTAGGGTTACCAAGTATTTCATCTTCTCACTTTTCAGCCACGACAGGGTCAACCGTCCGTTCGAACTGTTCGAACGAAGGATTTCGAGGACTGCAGCCACAGGCGCGTGCGTGGCGGCGTATCCGAGGGCAAGAATTGTTTGTGCAGACCGCATTAGATTCGATTAATTATGCACAGAGAGACAGTTTTAGGCAAATTACGGTGTTTTCCTTGAGGAATAAAGAACAGTTGAATGCATCCCTATGAAAGGTTTGA